AAGGGGAAAAGCCTTATAAATGCCTGGAGTGTGGAAAGAGCTTCAGTGATAAAGGTCCTCTTAAGTCACACGAGAGGATCCACACAGGAGAAAAACCATTTCAATGTATGGAGTGTGGAAAGAGCTTCTATACCTCTACAAACCTTACTGCTCATCACAGAAGCCACACAGGGGAGAAGCCCTTTCAATGCCTACAGTGTGGAAAGCGCTTTGCCAGTTCTGGTGGCTTTCATGCCCACAAACAGACCCACACAGGGGAGAAACCCTTTCAATGCCTGGAGTGCAGAAAGAGCTTCAGTCAAAAAGGTCAACTTAAGTCACACGAGAGGATCCACACGGGAGAAAAACCATTTCAATGCATGGAGTGTGGAAAGAGGTTCCGTGCAAAAAGTAGCTATATCGGACATAGCAGAATCCACACGGGAGAGAAACCATACAAATGCCTGGAGTGTGGAAAGAGCTTCAGCAAAAAAGGTCAACTTAAGTTACACGAGAGGATTCACATTGGAGAAAAACCATTTCAATGCATGGAGTGTGGAAAGAGCTTCTGTCGCTCTGTATCCCTTACTGACCATCACAGAATCCACACAGGGGAGAAGCCCTTTCAATGCCTACAGTGTGGAAAGCGCTTTGCCAGTTCTGCTAGCCTTCCTGCCCACAAACGGATCCACACAGGGGAGAAACCATACAAATGTCTGGAGTGCAGAAAGAGCTTCAGTCAAAAAGGTCATCTTAAGTCACACGAGCGGATCCACACGGGAGAAAAACCATTTCAATGCATGGAGTGTGGAAAGAGCTTCCGTGCAAAAAGTAGCTATATCGTACATAGCAGAATCCACACGGGGGAGAAACCCTTTCAGTGCCTGCAATGTGGAAAGCGCTTTTCCCGTTCTGATAGGTTTCGTGCCCACAAACGGACCCACACAGGTGAGTAACCCTAGAAATGCCTGGCGTGTGGAAAGAGCTTCTGTACATCCAGCATCTTAACTTCCCATCAAGTATGCACAGAGGAGGGAAACCAAACCAATGCACCAAGCGTGGGAAGTGCTTCAGTCAAAAAAGTCATCTGAATACCCATAAAAGAATCCACACAGGCGAAAAGCCCTATAAGTGCACCATGTGTGACAAATGTTTCACCAACTTGTGGGGCCTCACTTTCCACAAAAGGCTCCATACTGGGGAGAAACCATATGAATGCCGCATGTGTGGAAAGAGCTTCAGTGCAAAACAAAGCGGTGAAGTACATAGCAGAATCCACACTGGGAGAAACCCCATGAATGCTTGGAGTATGGAAAAAGTTTCAGCAGA